CACAGCCAGATTTCAGATTTCTTTGTCTCCCCTTAGAACCATCCATTGTCAATGCTTGTTAGAATTTGTCGGAACTTTTTGACATCAAGTCCAAGTAATACAGCTTCCCTCACCTAATACTACAACCAATCGTCTGCTTTGTTTGGATGTCTTTAAACACACAAAAATTAGGCCAAAAAATTACAACACAAGATAAAACTGTGGTTATTTGGGAAACGGACAACAGATTAGAAGATAAAAATAGAACAGCTAAAACAGAATCTAAATGCAGATTATCAGTGAGTGTCAAAGATCCTTCCCCAATAATTAGGGTTGAAGTACCATTGGCAATAGAAACAAATTGTTGTGAGGAGGAATTAATAGGGGAGACCTGTCTAGAATCAAATGTCATATGATCTGTAGCACCAGAATCAATTATCCATGCACTATTAACAACAGGTGTAGAAATATTTAAAACCTTACTACCATTATCTCCAGTTACTACCAACCCCAAGGCCTTTTTAACACTAGCATCATCTGTCTGAACAACTGCTGCAGTGGAGGTCTTCGTTGAATTCTTCTTTCAACGACTATGATCCCACCATTCCAGATATCCCACAAGTTCAAAACAGTGACTTTTGGTATGACCAGTCTGATTGTAATGGTTGCATTTGTAGGTAAACTTATTTACACCGTTGGTGGCTTTAGATTGATTGGGTTTAGTACGGTCCTGCCAGTTTTGCTTAGACCTGTTTCGAGCCATCATGATTGAAGCTTCAGAGTTTTCGGATTCCCCTTTCAGAGTTGCACGACGTACCGCTTCTCGTCGAACCAAAGAGTAGCAGCCTTCCAAGTCTGGATTGAGATCGATGCGTAGAATTTCTCCATAAACTTGTTTAAAATCACCATCTAATTCGGCAAGAAAGATGTGAATTCGATATGCTTCAATGTCATCCGGATCTTTCATGACCACTTTATCTCGATAGTCCATATATCGGAAAACCTCAGTTAGCTCTCCATAATATTCAGATAGAGATTTTCCATTTTGTCTGGCGGTGAAGGCCTTTTGGTTCAAGGCGAAAACTTGTAACCCATCATTCCCATCATAAAAGTCCTTTAATAGAGCACTCTAGATTTTGTTAGCAGTGGGTAAGCGTAAATAACGCTTCATAATTTCTGGAGTCATGGACATTAATAGCCACCGCTTCACTTTCTGATTTTCGGCATACCACTTGTCATAACCATCTTCTGATTCAGTAGGTGGCTTAGTCTTGCCACGAATATAGGAAAGTTTTTTCTTTTCAGCAATATGCATCTCCATCAGTTGGGACCAAATATCATAATTGGATTCAGTAAGACTAATCCCTGCATTAAAAACACCTTCAGATTGAACAAAAATAGGAACAGATTTCGTCCTAAAGGATTCAATATATATATATATATTAATAAAATAAAAAAATAAAAAACAATATTCAAGCTAGTCTCTGTTAAGCAACAGAGAGAAATATATAAAAAAAAAAAAAAAAAAAAAATTGGATACGAGACAGCGGCAGAGAACCACGACGCGATCCGGCGAGGCAGCGGCAGAGAGTGGCCTGATCCGGTGACACGACGGTGATGATGGAGAAGATCCGATGAAGATCCGGCGATAGCTATGATCCGGTAATTTGGCATTCGAGGTGCAGCGGTTTGTTGTCGTTTGAAGAGTCGCTGGCAAGCAGTGGTGCAGCGGTTCACGGCAGATTCAGATCCGACTGGTTCACGACAGATTCAGATCCGGCGATGGCAGATTGTAGGCAGTGGTAGGCAGCAGTTTGGCTGCGGCTTACGGTGCAGCTTGTTCGATTGTGGCTTGCGATGGCAGATCGGTGAATTTCAGGGTTGATAATTTCTGTGTATATGGATTTGAGATGATTGTATATGGATATGAGATGCCTGTTGATGTATTGGCTGTGTATGGGTCTGTGTATTTCAAAGCTAAATTCAAAGAGAATAAAAAAATACGGTTCAATGATGGCTCTGATACCATCTTGAATTTCAGAGAAAGAATATGAGAATTAACACTTTATTCAAAAATATTATTCACGATGGTATTACATTCAATTTATAGAATAATATCTAGCTAAAATAGGTAACTAAATATACAATAATCGGGAAACTAATTACCTACCAATTAGTCCTAAATCAAGGAGTAAATAATTCAACCCTACAGTTGTACAATCTGTATAATCCTGGATTACAAGCGGTAAAATGTCAACAAGGCTGAGTCGAAATTCATTGTACTTTGTTTCATATATAGTAGATTGTTTCGCTCGAGATCGCATGAAAGCTTTCGAGATTTTTTCAATTGGCTTTCCTTGCTAAAATTCCTCTCAAACTTTACTTTTCTTACATTTATTTTTTATTCGTCGGTTGATTGGTTTGTTTTAATTCGGTAAAATTAATTCAAGTAAAAGTTTGGGTAAAACATCACGTCACATTTATTCACTCCCTTTAACTGTTTTTAAAATCCAAATTACGTCCACAATCTTCGCACAACGCAACTCACAAATTACATGGATCTATCCTTAGGTTTGAGCAAATTACACATCGATTGAGCGTTTGACTTTTATTACTTTGACTTCCCCTAAAAGTAAGAAATGCGTTTCATATCCTTATCTAAATAAATAATAGTTTAATAAAAAAAATTATCAAATAAAAAGACTCTATTACCTTTTTTTTTTTCTTCTTTATCTTGTAAACACTATATTATCTTACCTTTTTTTAAGAAAAACACCTAATCAAAGATTATTGGGATCTTTTAATATAAAGAAAAGATGACTTAGTCATTTTTAAAATTTTTGTTACTGACAAAAATGTCCAACCCTCAAAAGATGTTAATTTAATTTACCCTTAATTTTATGTTTATACTTATTCTAAGTTATGTTTATACTTATTCTAAGTTGTACTTGCTTGATATGCCTAGTTGATTGATCTTGGACTGTTTGTCTGGTTCCTTGTTTTGGGAGTTTGCTCTTAAGTTTGTAATGTTATGTCACCTTTCAGATTGTCCAAGGCAAATTTGTTCACTTGTATAGGTAGATGTCTTAGAAAAATAAACTTATTCAAAAGAGAGTGATTGTGAAGACATTATTTTACATTGTCATATTATAACTATTTTTTGTTTAAATAAAATGATTAACAATAAATATGAAAACCCTTTAAAAAATTTATTTAGTTAATTATATGATATTTAAAACGTTTAGTACATACTACATATATTATACTATTCAACTGGAAAAAAAAAAAAAAAAATATAGATTATATTTTTTTGTTAATTTTCAGACAAAAAATATAAATATTTTCTGTCAATGTAGATTATATTATGGCTAAATGTCATTCATCTATACGGGTATGATTAGAAATTAAATTTTGGCATTATTTTTACAAAGTAAATTAGCTCCAATTGATTGAATTTGCAAGAGAGATATTTTTTTTAATTAATTTTTTATCTTTTAGAGTTCGCGCGATGCCTTCTGGATGACAAGGTAATTCGTCTTCCTCACGTGGGGGCATATGATCATGATCGGGATGGTTCGATAATGTTGTAAAGTGAAGAACAATGGAAGGGCATGGACTAGAGAGACCAAATTATCCCCTTTTTTTTTTTTTTTTTTTTTTTTTTTTTTTTTCTGATGCATAGAGAACAAATTATCTTGACATGGTTCATTCATCATCAAAGCTTTATAGAGCATATAGAATTTGAAACTTTTATATTTTTTTTAATTTTTTTGGCCTTTTGAAACTTTTATTCAGTCATTGCTTTATTCATTTTGTGTTGCTTTTTATGCGCCAAATGTCAAATTAGTCATGAACATGGAAAGGGAGAAAAAGATTCAGGTCAAAATTTGTGGCTCGTCGTATCAATAACTGTAGCAAAGTAAATAAATTATATCAATGAAATTAATGTGATGCTAGAGAATAATTGAAAGGTGGGGTCCTGAACTTGATTCTCCAATTTTTAAATCAGTCTTTAAAGTAATTTATTAAAATTAAAATTGACATGTGTCGAAATTTGGAATGTGGTGGATATATCCAGATCTGTGTGCACAAAAGAGAGTGAAGATATGAATACCTATATATATATTTTTTCTAAAATTGACATTATGATTATTATATATAATTCATAAGTGCAATGGACACTTTTTAATATAAGATTAAAAAGAAGATTATGAACAAATAAGTTTATGATTTATTAACTTCATTTTCCTCTATTACATATAGTTTATGATTTATTAACTTCATTTTCCACTATTATGCATATTTACATCTTAAAAAAATAATATTCTATATTTGATGTGAGTGGAGATTAACGTTATAATGGCACGAGTGATAAAATCAACTAATATTATCATAATGCCAACACTCAATTCACATAAAAACAGGCTTCATATCATGGCGAGCAAGGGTGGACCTATAAGAATATATTAATTTTTATTAAAATGGTCCATGCACCAAGTATGAAATGGTTCAAAACCACTTCATAATTTCTCCCATACACATAATAATTTCTCGTGTTTGTGAATGTGCTAAAGATCAAATTTGCACGAAAGTTCAGCACTAGGAACAGTAAGTTTCAGTCATAATAAATGAGGCAATTAATCAAAGCTTGACTTGCCCACAGATTTACTTGAAGGAGCTTAATTCGTACATTAACCTTTTGGTGTGGCTCTTTAAAGGAGTTACAGGTTGCCAAATTGATTCGGTACTAGTGCAAGTTGTGGAAGCTGACCTGACCAGACCAGTGCCAGTACACAAGTGTTCAATCGCTTTTCTTAGCCGTTGAAATTCCATTTCCTTCAGGTCTAAGAATAAATCAAATAAAAAGCACATTTGGACCTTACATTTTGAATAGAATATATTCCTTTTTTCATTGGCTACTAGATGATGCATGCATTAGTCACTCATGCATGCATGCATGCACATATTAATTCTCTATAAATAGATATCTTGGAACCAAGAATTTGCATGCAGAGGTTGGTTTTGAGAGAGGAAGAGAGGCCTTACATGAAGATAAGAGTCTTGTTTGGTAGCCAAGGATGACTTGCCTGCTACCACCCAAGGTGTGTGTTTGTGTGTGCTTTGAAGCCTTGTTTGGTTCCCAGGCAGTCAACTTGGCTAGTCTGACAGGTTCTTCTCTCTCATGCTAGGCCTTCTCTTCTTCCATATATATATGTCCCTGATGGAAATTAGCTTGACATTATCCATAGTGCAACAGGCAAATGTGTGTGTTTTCAGATAACTATTGCCAAGGGAGATTAATTATTACTATCTAGATGAATTGTTTTCATATATATATGATATCATGTTTGTTTATTTCAAATCTTTTCTACACACACATAGATAGATAGATAGATATATTTGGTTAAATAAGCCCTTTTCAATATTAATGAACAACATAATAAGTTTAGTCCAGCTTAACATGTAGTATCTTTTATAATGCTAAGTCTTGAATCAATCACCTGATAACTATGCAACACATCAAGTGCGTTACAAATTAAGTTCATAAGTATTATACATAAGACCATAAAGTTGACTCTCATACTTTATTATTAATTTTGACTCTCATTCTTGCATCTAGAATCGAAATTTGTTTATTTTTTTAAATAAAAAATGTAACACATTACTTCAAAAATATTATAATGGATGCATTGATATTGATGTACACATTCATATTATTGCTGCACATGATTACATCGACACATACGGTAATATTATCAGACAAATAAATTATAAAATATATCACCTTTTCATTATTCTTGTATCCCTAATTTAATTAAGATATTCTCAATTTATTTGGATGACAAATTACTGTCATACCCATGTCTGACCTAGAGATCCCGGTTCCTCGCATTTGAACACCTAAGTAATGACTAGTGTCATCCCAAGACCACGTTACAAGACACGTGTCATCCAAAACCTGCCACGTACACCAACCTCCAAATTTAACGTGTCACCACCTTGTTTCACGTTGCATGCAGATTGAACTTATCCTTATCCACCACCTTTGCATGCCTATATATATAAGCTCAAATCAACATCGATCTCTCTTCATCAACTCTCTTATTCTATGTTTCAATCCAATTTTCAATTGACTCATATATTACAAGTTTTTCAGGTCTGAAGCTATGGCACAGTACGGTGACCAGTACAACAAACCAGGTCGCCTAATCGACGAATTCGGAGACCAGCACGCCGGACAACAAGGCCGCCCAACCGACGAATATCAAGACCCCTACTACGACAGACCCGGCCTCCAATGTGAAGATATTCAGTACAAAGCTACTGGCACCACCGGAGCCTACACCACCGCCACCGGAACAACCGGCACTACCGGTGCATACGGAGCAGCCACCGGGAGGACCTACGTTCCTGGCACCAGAATATCTGGTCCTACTGGTGCATATGATGCTGGTCTAGGCGGAGGAGCACATGATACCGGCGCTAGGGGTGCATATGATCCTACGGCTATGTATGAAAGTACTACAGGTGGAGCGTTCGACACCGGAGCAACTGGCGCCACTGGCATTTATGGTGGTCCCGGAGGTGACACTAGAGCAGCAACCGGTCCGGGCACACATGGCACCGGAGCTGGCACGAGGGCAGCTGGTACGGGCACCGGACAAAGAGGCACTGAGGAGGACCCACGCTTCGGTGGTGAGCACCGGAGAAGAAATGATATGTGATGCTAGGAAGGTTGGAGTGGGCAACTTTAGGTGTCTTTGATATATGTAGTAGTTTATATGTATGTCTTGTGTTGGGTTTAAATATATATATATATATAATATAATATATAGTTTATATGTGTGTATATATATGTATGCTTGTTTCTAGGTGAAAGGAGTGAGCAGTCTGGGGTGTTACGTGAAAATATGGAGTCTAATGAATAAGCATCGCTAAGTTTTATGTTTGCGGTGGTTTATACAGTGTATTATAAAGTGTTATGGGTTTATATATAGTTTGTGATATGAAGTGTTATTTGTTCTTTTGAGTACTACATAAATATTTGCTGTTGGTTGAATTTTGTTTTTTATTTTTTGTCTTTATTTTTCCTTATATTTCACTATGTGCAATATGTTTTTATTATTATTATTATTATTATTATTGGCAGCTCAAGCAACCGTGTGTGCACGGTAAAAATATTTACAGCGCCCAAACAAAAAAAAAAAAAAAAAAATTACAGTACTCACCTAAAGGCCCAAAAAGTAAATAAACTTGGGAACAAAAAGAGAATCACAATCGGTGATTGGGCATAGCCCAAAGAAAAAATTACAGACCTGAAGGCCCAAAAGGATATAATCTTTTGGCCCAACTCAGAAAACAACATGTGAAGTAACGGCTATTTGAGATTATAACCGTTACAACGGCCATCTCCATTTCTCGCAGTAACCAAGAGTTAATTTTTAACGAACAATGAACATCAATAACATCAATTCCAAGTTGATCATGGAAAGCCTGGCTTTTTGGTTCTTCAAAGAAAGAAAACATTGAAATAAAAGTGCTTTCTAGTACCATATATACAGACCAGATTTAAAACATGCATTCAGATTAGAATTAATGAAACTCAACTTTCTCATGGTTTATTTGACTACTCCAAGTTCAATAAGATGAGATCAACGACAAGAGAATGATTTTGGTCGGAATCTATGGATGATTTCGGTCCGAATCTATGAATTCCGATGAGAAGCCAAAATTAAAATATAGATTCCGGCCAAAAATCCAACCAACTGACAACTGCTCGGTCAATGCCGGATGGGAGGGAAAAAAAATTGGGGAGAAGATTTTCCATGAGTCCAAAATTGCATAATTGTACTAACTTACAAACATAAGAAGATTAATAAATAGGGTTATTCTTGTCAAAACCCCCTATGTGTGTGTGTGTGTGTGTATATATATATATGAGAGGGAAGAAAGAAAAAAAGAGTCCCAACCAAATTTGTTGAGAGAACTTAATACTACACAATCTCGGTAGGTCAAAAATGTAAATTTACCCCAATCCATTATGCTCAAATGTTAAACTTGGAGCTTTCTGGATTACTGCTCCAACTTCTATTTACATGATGAAAACCTGGAGGGTGATTTGTGTAATTTGCCTATTTGTCTTAAATTTTCAAATTAAAACTTCCAGTACATGGATTTTATTCATGGTTTTGGAGAAAGTTAATGCAGAACAGACGCCTGGCACAATCACTTATCAAACACAGAATCAACAATGAGAGTGACACAATGGTATTTTTTGATAGTTAGCGACCATGTGGTCTTCTATATCAGGTATTATCTACTAACTCTAATGCACAGACAAGGATAGACTATCAACAGACAACAAACATATTAGATTGTCTGACCATTCACTGGCACAAATTGGCATTATCGAATCTTCAGAAACAAATCCCTTCCTCCTCGATCTTTAAACTTTGAAGTCCATTATCGAATCTGTGTGACTTCGGCTGTTCTCAATCGATCGATCAATAGGAGCAACTGTCCCTATGCAGCAACAATTGTCAGTGAATGGAACCTGCCAAAATCCTTTTTTGATCCTACTCAAACAAACCATTTCTTCACATTCTATCGACCCTCCGACTCATGGCTAAGTTGACTTTTACTCTGATATCACTTTGTTAGAAATATGTGGGATAGACACAGAACACTCAATATTTAGGAAGAGAAGAGGACATAGAGGAATACTTGAAAATTTATTTTATTCCACTTCTACTAGCTTATCTTATTCTCATATAAAATTGTTAGAGTACATGATTATATAGCCCTTAAGATTGAACATATATATATCTATCAATTGCATGTAAATGCTCATAACTCTCATTTCTCCCCCTAACATAATCTTTGATAGGCATAACTCCCACTAACATAATATTTATTAGGCTCAACTCTCATAACTCTTGATTTTACATGACTTTCAACATCACACCAACTCTTACTAAAATAATTTACTACCCATGCTAAATTCACACATGCATCATGGATACAAAATACTTGAAAATACTAAATATTAAAATCAAGTTTATTTTCCAACAGGCTCATTCGTCTTGCACTCAATATTGGTCACGGTCGCGATGTATTCAAAGGCTCATAGTTGGTAGTTAATTGATGTAGTTGGGCCATTGGGCCCGATTGGAATGAACTAAATGCTTATTTTACCGTATGGGTTTTGGACTCCACCTTTGAAAACTGGGGCTGTTCTAATATTATTGGGGCCTGGGGTATACCATATACCCATGTTTTTATATAATTATTTTACTTTCTCGGTATAAATTCACATTTACTTACCAAGAAAAAAAAAAAAAAAAAAAAAAAAACCCTTTGTACAACATTTTAATTAAATTTTGAGCAAATATGTAATTATTTTTACTTTCTCTATATAAATTCACATTTACTCACACACACACAACAAAAAAAAAAAAAAAAAACCTTGGTACAACATTTTTATTAAATTTTGAGCAAATGGGTCCGTGATTTTACTATTTCGGATGAATTTGACGACATGGATGTGCTGACTTTAGCAAGTGAATTAATCTATAAGACAGATAACTAATGGTAAGCAGTACAAATGAATGTTGAGCGAACATGCGATGTTGCAAGTAGTGAGAGTATCAAATCCTTTAAGGCGGGTCAAGACTCACTCATACCAACTTGGTCGAGCCCTCATCCCCAGTACGCGATCAACATGATCGACATTGACATGGAAAGCTCACGATTGGAGTGAACAACACTCTACTAGTGCCCTAAAAAGAATATATATTTGTGGTAAAAGGGCACTTGCAAAATTAATTATTTTTTGCCCACATACCCCTTCTAAGACACTTGATTTGAATTTCTGATTGGGTATATGTTTTTTTGAAGTTGGTTTTAATTAATCAGAGGAAATATGTATGAGTTACAATGTGTTTGTTTAAAATAGAGAGGTGATGTGTTAGTTTGTCATTACTTCTGTAAGTATAATTTGGAACAATTTGCATATTTTTGGTGGAATGAAACTGTTCACTTTAGAAGGAAATATATATATATATTTATAGTATATATTATTTAAGGTACGTGTGTATATTTGAGGTAAAAAAGGACATATGCGTGTGTAAGTCAGTAAAATGATAAATAAAGCTCACATCTTTCATGTATTTATTGATGTATCACATGATAATGGTTTAGGATCAACGGTTCAGAGATTATATAATATCGAGTAATTTTTAGTGTAACGTAAAAAATGATGGATTCCAGAGCTGAGGTGAATGCATTTTATACAATGTGAATGCTTAATTCTTATTGATTTTACCTTACGAAAAAAATCTAGAATACTATTTACCTAATCATATCAAAACTTTTACACATTGTGACCCCACATTTTAAAGAGATCGAATATATTCCATTCCTTGATGGGAAGATATACTTGATCGATGTTGTGATGAGAGGTGGAAAAGGAAAGAGAAAAGGGTTGACTATGGAATGGGCAAATTGATAAAGAAGCTAGATTTTATCCGAATATATATATCTCATATATGCATGTACGTCTATTATATATGTTCTCTAATTGGCTATAAATATAGAGCCTTGGAACCAAACATTTGCATCTGATCTCTACAACCTATATAGATTTGCGAGAGGAAGAAAGGTCTTACATGAAGATAAGAGTCTTGTTTGGTAGCCAAGGATGATTTGCCTGCTACCACCCAAGCAAACTCACAATCACACACACACACACACACACATATATATATGTATGTATGTATGTATGCATATTATATACATGCATTTTGAGCCCTTGTGTGGTTCCCACGCAAGTCACCTTGACTAAACTGACAGGCTCTTCTCCCTCATGCTAGGCCTTTCCTTCTAAAAAGTCTTCAATCCGTCAAGTGGAATCAATCACCAATGTATTGGAGGGATGCTTCTTACACGGGTACGTGGATTAATCGGGTAAAATCCTCCAACATTCCGGTTATTAAAACTATAAAATAGCTTTTTTCCGCCAGATAAAATTTAAGTACACTACGATCATGATTTAGTTATTTGCGTTGATTCATTTTGCAACAATTTTATCGAAGTTATATGATTTTGCAAATCTAGAGTACTAAAGATCAACTATATATATATATTCACAGTTTAAACTACCGTTTGAAATCCAAGTCAAACTATGCAGGATACGAGGGTAGATTTTTAATTGTTGAAATTAAAACTATAAAACATTTTTGTCCAAAATCCAGACAAGGTATATATATTGTCTGTGTTCGTATATTGTACGTATATACACACATAGATACACTTAGTCACTTAGACTGGGATCAAATTAAAGTTAGAACAATACTTCGCATGCACTAGAGTAGGTAGGTATCAGTTTGATATATCCACGATTATTTTTCTTTCTTTATTTATTTATTTCATTATCAAAAGACATGTAGTCTAATGAGATCATGACACGTGAAAATTACAATAAAAAAAAATAATAAATAAAATTACACATGTAGTGGCGGTGAAATGTATCCTCTTGCTTTTCCTTGTAACACTGCCACGTAAACACAAATCCTAACGTGTCAGCAGAAATTACTTCTCACATGACACGTGTAGTTCTCACGTGACATGCAGCTTGACAATACTATACTACCTTTATAGTCATATCAGATAGTTATAAACCAGCGTTCAACTTTTCTTCTCAATTTAGTTTTTGAGTTTAATTTTAGGGTTTTGAAGGTATGGCACAATACAGAGGCCAGTATGGCAAACCGATTCGCCAATCTATTGTACGGAAACCCGGTTCACGATACCTAACCAATGAATATGGCAAACCGGTTGATGAATAGTTGGGATTTATATGCCTTGGCATAGCAAATTCTTATTTGGATTAAAGTGACATATGTTCCTAACGTTTATGAAATATTTATATTTTTATACAATTAGTGAATTCAATGCATTATGTTTCGATTCATTATAGAATTGATAGTGTCCACTTGATTACAAGAGATATTTATATATGTATGTAATGACGATCAATACATG